AGGTTATCAGGAGCTCAAGGAAGATGATCGTTTCAAGTGGAAGATGTTCAACCCGATCGTGACCAAATGTCACGTCGTCTGTGGGAACGTCTCAATCTTTTACCGACTAAAAGAGGCTGACGATATTCTCACAATTAAGAGATCCAAAAGGCAGTTCGAGAATCATTCAAGTAACCATGAAAGCAACAACAGCAACAAAAGCCTTCAAAGGGAAAGAAACTCACGTTATAACCGAAGGGCCTCCTGGATAATAGCTTCACAACAACCAAAGTAGGGAGAAGGAGTTGGTAGAAATCTACAGAGGACCATCCGAGGCTACTCTCAGTTTTGGACTACAAGATGCCATAGACGTCCTGCTCCCACACAATGATGCCTTAGTCATAAGTGCATATCGTTCCAAGCAGCAGTTTCAACCTACTTGTTCCAAGGTGACCCGGGACTCGACCTCGACCCGGAGTCGGAACTGGTCTGAGTGGGCTATTTGGACTGAGTTACAATGGACTCGGTCAAAACCCGGTCAACCCGTCCTTGAACCAGTCGACCCGGGACATTGCGTCGGTCAGATCAACCCAGTTGACCTGGTCCCTATAGTTATTTTTTTTAAAGTTATGTTTTAAAAAATGAAAACTATGTATATATATTTATATGATAAATATTTATTATGAGATAAAATATTATTAACGCTTTGATGTACAAATTTTATATACAGAATATTTCGCTTTGTTACTTTTATGTATGTTTATATGACGAAAATACTCTATATATAATTTTAAAAAATTTTAAAATTAATTATTCAATTCAACAATTGACTCGGTGACCTGGAGACCTGCCCGGGTCGATTCCCTGGCCAGGTCTAGAAACTATGGTGTAAATAAAATTGCTTGAGATTATTTAATTATATTAATAATATTGAGGATAATAGAATTGAGTCAAATTTAAATTTTTGAGTTAGATTTTGGTTAAATAAGTTGGTGGTGAAAAGTGATTGGTTTTTTATTTGATTTTTTATATTCGATCACACCTTAAACATAGACATGGCCATCAGCCAAGCCGGTTCACGACATGAGCCTAAAATGCCGGAACTGGAACCAGCTAGGCTACATTTAAGGACTGGTTCATTGAACTGCCGATTTTTTTAATAAAAAAAAATAAAACAACTCCGACCCGTCTTCTAACCCAGAACCAGCGGGTAAAAAAAACAAAATTAAGACCCGGAATCGGCCCGATTTTACCATGGGTTCGGGTCCAAGATCAGTGGATCCGGGTCTGGCCGACCCTTGCCCCCTCTACTTAATTACACTTGTTTTCCACCTTTGTTCTTGGCGGGTCAAAAAAGGTTATTGAATCCGGGTCGAGTCTGCAAATGGACAATGAAGTGTCATAAGAAAAGGTGCAAAACGCACAATCCTATCACAAGTCTATCATACTGATGAGTAGACGCATGATGAATGCTGGATTAAAGTACTGTCTTGTCTCTCTACTTGATTCATTTTCATTGTCTTTTCTTGTTCCTGTAAAAAGAAAATGACTTTTGATTTAATCACAGTTTTCAGTCTAGATAGAAAGTGTGTGCAAACTGCAAACTGCAGTTTATTTATGGCGGAGCTCGTAAAAAAAGAACAACAAAAATTCATGATTCTTGAAAATATAAACAAAATTAGAAGGGTTCTCCAAATTTCATATAATAATGTCAGCTTTCTTTTTTACTTTACTACTGTTTTCACTAGGTTAGCTTCGTTTTTCTTCCAAATTGCCTGCTACAAAAATGGAGGGTAAATTGGATACCCAAGATACATCCCTTTGAATTGATTGGTGTCTAATGCCTTTTTTTTACACAAACTTGTTGATTTGGGTTAGATATTTAAACCCCCTATTTGGTTCTTGGGTTTGTATGGCAACCTACTACTACCCTCTAGACCTTTCAGTGCAAGAAATAATTAAATTCTACGGTTGAGATTGAATATAAGATTTATTTGATATATTTTGAATCATCTAAACAAGTGAGATGAT